TACAGAATTTCCTTACTTGTGAAAGAGATTTCTTGGAAGCACACACACTGGCAGCAATTCTTTTTTGAATTTTGACAATGATTTTTGGACAAACTTTCATGTCTCCCTTTCCTCTTCCATAAACAGCTCTTCTCACAGCAATCTTTTACCAGCTGGGCAGGCCAGTTTAAGAACTTTTGTTCACACGTAACTCCAGTCTTGACATCTAATGCAGAAAAACAAAATAAACAAAATTCCAAACTTTGAATAATTAGAAAGTCATTAATCTTACTTGGTTTTGTTTGTTTTGTGTGTTGCTAAAACTAGCATTATATTTTTAGTAACTTTTTCAAATAATAATTTGATAGATATACCTTTTTTACAGACATATGCAACTCTCAAGTATTTGAAAATTCCTGGGCAAGATCTCCAAACACATTATTCTTTGCCAATACATTACATCTTCTCTTTCCATTACAGAATTTCCTTACTTGTGAAAGAGATTTCTTGGAAGCACACACACTGGCAGCAATTCTTTTTGGAATTTTGACAATGATTTTTGTGGACAAACTTTCATGTCTCCCTTTCTCTTCCATAAACAGCTCTTCTCACAGCAATCTTTCTACCAGCTGGGCAGGCCAGTTTAAGAACTTTGTGTTCACACGTAACTCCAGTCTTGACATCTAATGCAGAAAAACAAAATAAACAAAATTCCAAACTTTTGAATAATTAGAAAGTCATTAATCTTACTTGGTTTTGGTTTTGGTTTTGGTGGTGTTGCTAAAACTGAGCATTATATTTTTTAGTAACTTTTTCAAATAATAATTTGATAGATATACCTTTTTTACAGACATATGCAACTCTCAAGTATTTGAAAATTCCTGGGCAAGGATCTCCAAACACATTATTCTTTGCCAATACATTACATCTTCTCTTTCCATTACAGAATTTCCTTACTTGTGAAAGAGATTTCTTGGAAGCACACACACTGGCAGCAATTCTTTTTTGGAATTTTGACAATGATTTTTGTGGACAAACTTTCATGTCTCCCTTTCCTCTTCCATAAACAGCTCTTCTCACAGCAATCTTTCTACCAGCTGGGCAGGCCAGTTTAAGAACTTTGTGTTCACACGTAACTCCAGTCTTGACATCTAATGCAGAAAAACAAAATAAACAAAATTCCAAACTTTTGAATAATTAGAAAGTCATTAATCTTACTTGGTTTTGGTTTTGGTTTTGGTGGTGTTGCTAAAACTGAGCATTATATTTTTTAGTAACTTTTTCAAATAATAATTTGATAGATATACCTTTTTTACAGACATATGCAACTCTCAAGTATTTGAAAATTCCTGGGCAAGGATCTCCAAACACATTATTCTTTGCCAATACATTACATCTTCTCTTTCCATTACAGAATTTCCTTACTTGTGAAAGAGATTTCTTGGAAGCACACACACTGGCAGCAATTCTTTTTTGGAATTTTGACAATGATTTTTGTGGACAAACTTTCATGTCTCCCTTTCCTCTTCCATAAACAGCTCTTCTCACAGCAATCTTTCTACCAGCTGGGCAGGCCAGTTTAAGAACTTTGTGTTCACACGTAACTCCAGTCTTGACATCTAATGCAGAAAAACAAAATAAACAAAATTCCAAACTTTTGAATAATTAGAAAGTCATTAATCTTACTTGGTTTTGGTTTTGGTTTTGGTGGTGTTGCTAAAACTGAGCATTATATTTTTTAGTAACTTTTTCAAATAATAATTTGATAGATATACCTTTTTTACAGACATATGCAACTCTCAAGTATTTGAAAATTCCTGGGCAAGGATCTCCAAACACATTATTCTTTGCCAATACATTACATCTTCTCTTTCCATTACAGAATTTCCTTACTTGTGAAAGAGATTTCTTGGAAGCACACACACTGGCAGCAATTCTTTTTTGGAATTTTGACAATGATTTTTGTGGACAAACTTTCATGTCTCCCTTTCCTCTTCCATAAACAGCTCTTCTCACAGCAATCTTTCTACCAGCTGGGCAGGCCAGTTTAAGAACTTTGTGTTCACACGTAACTCCAGTCTTGACATCTAATGCAGAAAAACAAAATAAACAAAATTCCAAACTTTTGAATAATTAGAAAGTCATTAATCTTACTTGGTTTTGGTTTTGGTTTTGGTGGTGTTGCTAAAACTGAGCATTATATTTTTTAGTAACTTTTTCAAATAATAATTTGATAGATATACCTTTTTTACAGACATATGCAACTCTCAAGTATTTGAAAATTCCTGGGCAAGGATCTCCAAACACATTATTCTTTGCCAATACATTACATCTTCTCTTTCCATTACAGAATTTCCTTACTTGTGAAAGAGATTTCTTGGAAGCACACACACTGGCAGCAATTCTTTTTTGGAATTTTGACAATGATTTTTGTGGACAAACTTTCATGTCTCCCTTTCCTCTTCCATAAACAGCTCTTCTCACAGCAATCTTTCTACCAGCTGGGCAGGCCAGTTTAAGAACTTTGTGTTCACACGTAACTCCAGTCTTGACATCTAATGCAGAAAAACAAAATAAACAAAATTCCAAACTTTTGAATAATTAGAAAGTCATTAATCTTACTTGGTTTTGGTTTTGGTTTTGGTGGTGTTGCTAAAACTGAGCATTATATTTTTTAGTAGCTTTTTCAAATAATAATTTGATAGATATACCTTTTTTACAGACATATGCAACTCTCAAGTATTTGAAAATTCCTGGGCAAGGATCTCCAAACACATTATTCTTTGCCAATACATTACATCTTCTCTTTCCATTACAGAATTTCCTTACTTGTGAAAGAGATTTCTTGGAAGCACACACACTGGCAGCAATTCTTTTTTGGAATTTTGACAATGATTTTTGTGGACAAACTTTCATGTCTCCCTTTCCTCTTCCATAAACAGCTCTTCTCACAGCAATCTTTCTACCAGCTGGGCAGGCCAGTTTAAGAACTTTGTGTTCACACGTAACTCCAGTCTTGACATCTAATGCAGAAAAACAAAATAAACAAAATTCCAAACTTTTGAATAATTAGAAAGTCATTAATCTTACTTGGTTTTGGTTTTGGTTTTGGTGGTGTTGCTAAAACTGAGCATTATATTTTTTAGTAACTTTTTCAAATAATAATTTGATAGATATACCTTTTTTACAGACATATGCAACTCTCAAGTATTTGAAAATTCCTGGGCAAGGATCTCCAAACACATTATTCTTTGCCAATACATTACATCTTCTCTTTCCATTACAGAATTTCCTTACTTGTGAAAGAGATTTCTTGGAAGCACACACACTGGCAGCAATTCTTTTTTGGAATTTTGACAATGATTTTTGTGGACAAACTTTCATGTCTCCCTTTCCTCTTCCATAAACAGCTCTTCTCACAGCAATCTTTCTACCAGCTGGGCAGGCCAGTTTAAGAACTTTGTGTTCACACGTAACTCCAGTCTTGACATCTAATGCAGAAAAACAAAATAAACAAAATTCCAAACTTTTGAATAATTAGAAAGTCATTAATCTTACTTGGTTTTGGTTTTGGTTTTGGTGGTGTTGCTAAAACTGAGCATTATATTTTTTAGTAACTTTTTCAAATAATAATTTGATAGATATACCTTTTTTACAGACATATGCAACTCTCAAGTATTTGAAAATTCCTGGGCAAGGATCTCCAAACACATTATTCTTTGCCAATACATTACATCTTCTCTTTCCATTACAGAATTTCCTTACTTGTGAAAGAGATTTCTTGGAAGCACACACACTGGCAGCAATTCTTTTTTGGAATTTTGACAATGATTTTTGTGGACAAACTTTCATGTCTCCCTTTCCTCTTCCATAAACAGCTCTTCTCACAGCAATCTTTCTACCAGCTGGGCAGGCCAGTTTAAGAACTTTGTGTTCACACGTAACTCCAGTCTTGACATCTAATGCAGAAAAACAAAATAAACAAAATTCCAAACTTTTGAATAATTAGAAAGTCATTAATCTTACTTGGTTTTGGTTTTGGTTTTGGTGGTGTTGCTAAAACTGAGCATTATATTTTTTAGTAACTTTTTCAAATAATAATTTGATAGATATACCTTTTTTACAGACATATGCAACTCTCAAGTATTTGAAAATTCCTGGGCAAGGATCTCCAAACACATTATTCTTTGCCAATACATTACATCTTCTCTTTCCATTACAGAATTTCCTTACTTGTGAAAGAGATTTCTTGGAAGCACACACACTGGCAGCAATTCTTTTTTGGAATTTTGACAATGATTTTTGTGGACAAACTTTCATGTCTCCCTTTCCTCTTCCATAAACAGCTCTTCTCACAGCAATCTTTCTACCAGCTGGGCAGGCCAGTTTAAGAACTTTGTGTTCACACGTAACTCCAGTCTTGACATCTAATGCAGAAAAACAAAATAAACAAAATTCCAAACTTTTGAATAATTAGAAAGTCATTAATCTTACTTGGTTTTGGTTTTGGTTTTGGTGGTGTTGCTAAAACTGAGCATTATATTTTTTAGTAACTTTTTCAAATAATAATTTGATAGATATACCTTTTTTACAGACATATGCAACTCTCAAGTATTTGAAAATTCCTGGGCAAGGATCTCCAAACACATTATTCTTTGCCAATACATTACATCTTCTCTTTCCATTACAGAATTTCCTTACTTGTGAAAGAGATTTCTTGGAAGCACACACACTGGCAGCAATTCTTTTTTGGAATTTTGACAATGATTTTTGTGGACAAACTTTCATGTCTCCCTTTCCTCTTCCATAAACAGCTCTTCTCACAGCAATCTTTCTACCAGCTGGGCAGGCCAGTTTAAGAACTTTGTGTTCACACGTAACTCCAGTCTTGACATCTAATGCAGAAAAACAAAATAAACAAAATTCCAAACTTTTGAATAATTAGAAAGTCATTAATCTTACTTGGTTTTGGTTTTGGTTTTGGTGGTGTTGCTAAAACTGAGCATTATATTTTTTAGTAGCTTTTTCAAATAATAATTTGATAGATATACCTTTTTTACAGACATATGCAACTCTCAAGTATTTGAAAATTCCTGGGCAAGGATCTCCAAACACATTATTCTTTGCCAATACATTACATCTTCTCTTTCCATTACAGAATTTCCTTACTTGTGAAAGAGATTTCTTGGAAGCACACACACTGGCAGCAATTCTTTTTTGGAATTTTGACAATGATTTTTGTGGACAAACTTTCATGTCTCCCTTTCCTCTTCCATAAACAGCTCTTCTCACAGCAATCTTTCTACCAGCTGGGCAGGCCAGTTTAAGAACTTTGTGTTCACACGTAACTCCAGTCTTGACATCTAATGCAGAAAAACAAAATAAACAAAATTCCAAACTTTTGAATAATTAGAAAGTCATTAATCTTACTTGGTTTTGGTTTTGGTTTTGGTGGTGTTGCTAAAACTGAGCATTATATTTTTTAGTAACTTTTTCAAATAATAATTTGATAGATATACCTTTTTTACAGACATATGCAACTCTCAAGTATTTGAAAATTCCTGGGCAAGGATCTCCAAACACATTATTCTTTGCCAATACATTACATCTTCTCTTTCCATTACAGAATTTCCTTACTTGTGAAAGAGATTTCTTGGAAGCACACACACTGGCAGCAATTCTTTTTTGGAATTTTGACAATGATTTTTGTGGACAAACTTTCATGTCTCCCTTTCCTCTTCCATAAACAGCTCTTCTCACAGCAATCTTTCTACCAGCTGGGCAGGCCAGTTTGAGCACTTTATGTTCACAGGCAGTTTTGGTTTTTGCATCTAATTTGAATAAATAATGTGAGAAGTTATAGATTTTGATTTGAGCTGTTGTTGAGGTTTAATATTAGACAGAATGTGTTTAATGTGAGTGTTTGTATTTTTTTTAAATTTTGTGTGATTGGGATGTTAAAGGTATTTTTAGGTTTGTGTTTTTACTTACCGTTCTGACAGGTATAGGCTATTTTTAAGTATTTAAATATTCCAGGGCATGGATCACCAAACAAGGTGTTCTTAGCTAGAATGGTACATTGTCGTTTTGAATTGCAAGCCTTGCGAATGACTTTCAAAGATTTCAGTGATTGGCATTTTTTGTTTTGTATTGTAGAAATGAATTTGTTTAGTGATGATTTTTTGCAAGTTTTCATGTCTTTTCTTGCTCTTCCATAAAATGCTCGTTTGATTTTCAAAACTTTCCCTGGTTGACATTTTATGTTCAAAGATTGATGTTCACAAGCCTGCTTGATGGTTTCCTCTGTTTTGAAGTTTTTGTACATTTTGTAACTTTGTTTTTGTTATACTACCTTTTTCTGTGAATTCTTCATCTGGAGGTGGCTTTTGTGGATTTTGTTCCTCTAGAAAGATATATTTTATATTTAACTTTTAAATTTGAGTTATCAAACCTGGTTTGCATTGGAAGCCATTTCCAGTAAAACCTGGTTTACATTTACATTTGAATCCTGGAATTTCGTTTGTGCATGTTGCCTTTGAATGACAAGTATCTGTCTTTTCTCTACACTCATCGATGTCGTCGCATTCACCTTTGTTGTTCATTCTTAATCCTCTTTCACAATTGCACCCCCATTCGCCATCAGTTTTTATACACTTAGCGTTCATAGCTATGCAGTTAGGATGGTTAGCACATTTTGAGTTACCATTTGATTTGCAGGTGCATTGCTTTTTACAATTCGCTGTGGACCATGTTTCTCCAATCTTTTTTTTACAATAAACGAATATTTTTATTTTTGGCCTACTAATTTTATTTATGACGACTTACGTCTCTAGTTATACCATTTTCATCTTTACATCCTCCACAGTTTGTTTTTTCAACGCAGTTTGTACCTTGTAATACAAAACCTGGTTTACATATGCATCTTGAAGATGGTTCATCATCACAATCGCCAGAAATCTCTCCTCCACAAGTTTCGTCACACGATGGAGCATTTAATTTAAATTCCATATTTTCTGGACATGTTACGGCTATGGAAAATTTGTGTGTAAGAGTTGTCATGTTTTCAATTATCATAATTTTACTTACGACAATCGGTAAACTTTCTCCATTCGGCGTTGAAACCTTCAATTGCCTCTTCACATGTTTCAACAAAGTCCTCAATGGCACTACAAGATGATGTAATTAAATTGTCACCATTCATTGCGCATAAATCCGCAATGCAATCATTGTAGATACGTAGAGCGTCCTCTTTCTTTTTTTTAATACATGAACCAAGTGGACCTTTCTCATTAATTAAAATATTACACAATTTCTCAGCTTCCTGTTCCTGTTTGACGCTGCATTCGGGCTGCGGATCATCGAAGGTGCGACAGCTGTGAGTAAATTAAGTTTTGCAAATAATCTTAAAACTATATAATTAATTACTGTGGTGGACCCCCAACTTTGTAGCTATCGCCCAATTCAGGAGCTTTTATCTTTCTTCTACCTCTTTTTGTGATAACGATAGCATTAATTGGTTTTCCATCCTTGGTTACTAAGTCGTTCTGTTTATTTCCGTCCATATTTCCGCACATACCACACATTCTGTTTTTGTAAGTATCAGGAACGTCCACTCGTACTCGAGTATTTCCGTCCCAAGTTACCTTCAAGCCAAAGTTTGTTTTCAGTACTACGTATCTTCTTCTCCTTTTGATGACCAATTTAACATAAAGACCTTTAGTTTTATCTCCAAAATTTAATCGTCTCTTAGCACCATTAATCTTTAGAACAAGATATTGAAAGAGAGGAACCTAATTTGAAATTTAGAGTAATCTTACCGTAACCCTTAGCCGTTGTCCTAGTCTGACATTATATCCTAAAGTTTGAATATCAACGTACTTTGTATAAGACACAGTCTTCTTTCTATTTGGTCTGTGATAATTTCGTACTTCAACATTGAAAGCAGGTAAACCTCCTTTTTCAGCTTCCGGACATGGTCTGTTTGAAAAAGAAACTTAATTAAATATCTGTAATTGTCTTACTATATTATATGTTACTTTGCTAATGTATATTGACAAGTTCCCATAAAATCAAATTTTTGTCCATCAAATGTTTTGTAATGAGGATCTCCAGCTGCATAGCAATGATAATATCTGAAGCATTGTCTCTTTCCGTCTCCTCTAAAACCTTTGGCACATTTACATTTGTATGAGCCTCTCGTATTGAAGCATTTTGCATTTTCATGGCAAGGACTCCTTTCACATTCATTAATATCTAGTGATTGATCAATAAGTTGTATTAAAAAGTATGCATTTCCATAGAATACTTACCAATGCATTTGTTGTCTTCATTTCTTTCAAATCCTTTCTCACAAGGTGGTACTAAAAATAATTTGAATTAGAGGGAAAAGCTCATGTTTTAATTAAGATACATTACATGGAATGCAAACTCTTCCATCACCAGTGAAGCCACGTTTACATTTGCAATCATATCCTCCGACTTCATTAATGCAATTAGCATCTTTGCTGCATTTATGTGTTCCAGTTTTACATTCATTTTCATCTGTTTAGTACAAGTGTGAGACGTCATTTTTTTATTATATGTTTTAATGCATTTTTTATTACCTGTGCACCCTTTGTAACCATTTCCAATCCATCCTCGTTTACAATGGCAGGATCGAACTCCATCCTTAACTCTACAGCTTGCTCTCTTATTACATTTACCCAATTTTACTTCTTTGAAATCTCTATTTTTCTCACAAGTAAATCTTATGGTACAATCTTCTGAAGAATAGAATTGACCAATCTCCATGAATCCACCATCAGGCATCTTACAGCCGCACTTATTACTTGGAATACAGTTGTTTCCATCTAAAACAAAGCCCTTTTTGCATACGCAACCTTCCTTAGGAGGTTCTTCGCAATCGTTCGGATCTGCATCAGGATTTTCACATGTTGCTGGACAAGATGATGTCTCCTGGGCATATACAGCATTTGCTTGGCACTTTAGAGCTAGAGGTATAATAAAATTTTGCAAAAAATTCTGACGTAACTTAAATTTTACATACGGCAGAAATTATTTTTTCTCCAAACAACAGCTACATCATACTTTTCTCTACATTTATCTGCAAAATCTTCAATGGATTTACAGATCATTTCATTTCTATTATCCTTCACGAGACAAGCATCAAAGACACAATTATCTAATTCGTCGTCAATTAAATCCTGGTTGTTTTTATCTGAAATTTTTAAAGTTTTAGTAAAGAATCAATTTAATATTATCTTCTAAATGCCTTTTTTAATAGCTTCAATGCATTGCTTGAAAGGTCCATTGTTATCAAAGATAATTCCACATTTATTCTTAGATTCTAAGTTTTGCTCTTCTTTTTTGGTACATTGTCCTGGTTCATCTCTTAGCGGTCTACATCTGTTTTAAAATAATTCACGAGCATTAATTTGTTTTGTTTCAAGTATGCTTTCAGTGTAGAATACCCTGGTTTTGTTGCTCTATCAATAACTTCCCATGAATTACCCAAGTCTGCATATCTATATCTAGTTCTTGTTTTACCTCTTCTGATTACCTTAATTGTTGTAGGAGGAGCTGGTTTTCCATCGGAGCCAATAATATCGTTCTTTTTGTTACCATCAAAGTTACCACAAATACCACACATTCCCCTGTTGAGAGTTAATAAAAGAGATTTTATGAATGTTTTGAATAATAAAATACTGACATATTCTTATAGTAAGAAGGCAATTCCACTATTGCTCTACTTCTTCCATCGAAAGTAACTGCTAGACCAAAGTCAGTTCTAAGAACAACGAATCTTCCTTCTCGTTTTACAACAAATCCTGGTTTCCTGATAGGAACCGTTCTAAGAATTCCATTTGTCATTGATCTTAAGCCTTCGCTAGACTCTTTCATTTTGCCTATGATAACTCGTCTACCCTTCTTTAATCTGATTCTATATCCATATACATCGATATCAACTAATGCTGTGTAAGAAACTGTAGTTTTCTTTCCTCTATGCTCATTTAAAACCTCAACATTAAAGTCTGGAAGATTTTCCTGTTCTTTCTTGGGACACGTTTTAGCTAAAGTATATTTGCAAGTACCCATAAAATCTAATCTTAAGCCATCAAAAGTTCTGTAATGAGGATCTCCAGCAGCAGAGCACCTGTGTAATGTCATACATTCTTTTTTACCAGTCAAAGGGTTTGTAGACAGTCGTCTTCTCTTGGGACAACGACATACATATCCGCGTCTTGTGTCTCTGCAAATGCTTCCCTTTGGACATTTTGCAACTCCAGTTTTACACTCATTAACAGCTATATATTACAAAAAACAATAAAGATAACAATGCAGGAATATTACAACATACGTTTGCATATTCTTCTTCCTCTTCTTTTGATAAAACCATTATTACAAACGCATCTGTAGCCTCCCATGGTGTTAATACATTTGTTTTTGCACACTTTTTTTCGTCCCTTGCATTCATTGATATCTATTTTTTTAATTTACAAACTTGATAAAGAGATTACTTTATTTTTTAAAATTTTAAACCTCGGCATCTTCCACCAGCGAATCTATATCCTCGTTTGCACTTGCATCTGAATGATCCTATAGTATTAACACAGCGTGAACCACCACGACAGTTGTGCTTCCTGCGTCTGCATTCGTTGATATCTTTTTAAATTAAAAGTGGTCATATTATTTAAATTAGTTGATTTATATTAAAATAGATGAAAATTTAAAGTATTTATGACTTAACAAACCGAAACACTTAAGGCCATTTCCTCTAAAACCCTTCTTACAGTGGCATCCTCGTTTACCCTTTCTGACGCCGCAGAAGGCGTGCCTGTGACACTTGTTAACTCTTTGAATAATTTTTCCTCCTTTCAAACATGTATATCTTATGGTACATTTCTTGTTGAGCCATTTGTCCTTGTACTGAAATTATTAAGAAAGAATATAAATTGAAAGAAATAACCATCAATTAATAATGATTACATCGTGGTAGAGACCGTTTTTGGCAACACATCCACATTGTTTCTCGGGAACACACTTAGCACCATTTCTCAAGAAGCCATCTTTACATTCACAACCTTCAGTATTTGGTTTCTTACAAGTGTCTGGAGCATCTTTGTCCAGGCAAGTTGCAGGGCAAGCAGAAGTTTGTGATTTAAAGACAGAGTTCGGTGGACAATTAGGGGCTATCAAATATTTTAAGTATAGTTGTTTATGTTTTTCGTTCATATAACTTACCGCAAAGATTTTTGGATCTGAATTCTACAACTACGCCTCTCATTCTGCAAGATTCCGAGTATGTCTCTAGTGCATCACAATAAACCTCTTCTTTATTTTTAGAGGCACATAGATCGAAGATACATTCTTCAATAGCATCAGTTGGTGATAACTGAAAGAAATTAAAAAAAAAATTAGTAATAGCTTAAAAATTTTAAGAGTAAAAGCTTTTGTACTTTTTTGTGGCAAGGCTTGAATGCTGGCAAAGTTGACATCTTTTGACATTTTTTTGTGATCAAATTCTTAAGATTTGGATCACAATCTGTTGTTACATCTTCTTCATCATCTTGTATAGAGCAAGATTGTTCCTCTTGATTTTTAGACATCCAGCTATTACCGATATCGACGTAACTTCCTTTACTATGAAACGTAAAAAGTGCATAATTATACAAAATTTATAAACAAATTAAACGGCGTACAAACCTATTTCTTCCTTTGGGGAAATAGTCATTATTTTTATTTCCATCCCAGTTGCCACATAAACCACAGAGTTGTCCTCGTAAATTGGCTGGAGATATAACTTCAGCCATATGATTTCCGGAAAATCTCACGATTAATCCAAAGTCTGAAGTAAATTTTTCAATTACATATTGAAATAAACAATACTTTCGATTTACCTGTGGAAAGTGATAGCTTATTCAATCCAAACGAGCTTATCTTAATACGTCCTCCTAAAAGATTTTGAGGGAGACTTCTTACACCATCAACCAAAATGACTCCATTCTTCATGAATCTGATAACCTTTTCGTAAACCTCAATATCAACGATTTTTGTGAATGAGACTCTCATATTTCGTCCTCTTCGTTCATTTATAACCTTAACACTCCATTTGGGCTTGCCTTTAGTTTTAGGTCCACATGGCTCTGATAAAGTATATTTGCATACGCCCATAAAATGAATAATTGCTCCATCGAATGTTCTGTAATGTGGATCACCAGATGCTCTACACAAGTTGCTGGCTGAAATGCAAATATTTATATTATTAGATAAGAAAAATTTTTGGTTTCTTTACCTTGACATCTAATTAATCTTCCTCGTCTGATAACGGGTGTCAAACCGGCGCTACATTTGCAAGATGACTGTGTTTTACCATCTTCACAAATGGCGTTTGCTGGGCATCTTAGTTTTCTTGTCATACCTTGACATTAAATAACATTTAACATTTCAATAATACGAAGAATGTGATGATATATTTACAGTCAGTTGATTTCATTTCCTTGGGATTACCCTTACAAATAAAGGCTTTTGGTGCGTTACATTTGTCATCTCCCCACTTATAGCCCTTTCTTACATTAAAGTAACCACAATCTTCCGACTTTCCAACTCTTGCTTGTTCGTTGGGATCCTCCCAATTAGAGAAGTCACTCTATAAAACATTGAAACATTGATAAAGCAAATAGATTTTAAATTTATTTAGTTTACACTCTCGCTTCCATCACTCCATAACCAATCAGCCTCTTTTTTAATATCATTCAAACCCATCCAGACAGATTTCTTTTTCCTTAGTGATTTTTTGCTGTAAAATATGCGAAGCAATGTCAACAATTACTAGTATTATTGAATGTTATAAAGTACAAACATTAAAGAGTTGACATATTTTTGTTCTTCAATAGATGTCACTGATACTAAATCAGCACCGCTATTTTTGCACATAGTTCTTGCATCATTCCAACCAAGAGATTTTGAAGCTACGGGATAGTAACAGTTGCTTTCATAAGTTTTCCATCCCAATGGGCAAGGAACATTGATTTCAGTGTCTCCTTCACTTCTATATTCGCAAATGTATGGTTTACTGTTTTCACAATCTGACAACGCCCATTTATCTCCCTTATTTCGTTGTGCATAACCGCAGTTTAGTTTATCATTATTCGAGTTCTGTTTACGAAATAATTATAATCAAAATATTTTTTTATCAAGCTGGAAGTTATGTTTACTTTAAGCCAATAGCTCCAACTTCCTAGTTTTGTTTGAGTGACTCCCCACGTCCAGGCAAAGACACCTTCCTCTCTAATGTCATTTAAAGCAGTCCAATACTCAATCGGTCTAACTCTTAAAGCCCTTCTTATGCTTCTTAAAGAGTAGATATTTGGAATAGCAACCAATCTACCACCACCATTATCAAAACAGCTTTGGGCAGCATCCTTCCATGTCAAAGGTTTGTTAAAAGCTTTATAGCAACGAAGTGGTGTATGAGGATCATAAAAAGCGTCTCTTGGACAGTGAGATACTGAAAAGAATTGAGTATGACTCATGTTAGCTTTACTATTATTTATACTCAACTTACGTGATCTGGTAGTATGATAGTAATTGTCAAACATTCGATTTTTGATAAAGGCTCGGGGTCTAGTAATTCTGCTTTGCTTTGAAAGATTGCATATCTTCTTGGCTGAACTATAATCAAATGATCTACACTTGCCCCACTTTTGACAAGCATTCGCGCAGTCCAGGGCACTTTTGACGTTAGATAGTGACCTATCATCGTATCCTTTCAGAATTCTACGTCTATGTCGGCCAAAGCTAAGGAGGTTATCTGAAAATAATGTCTATGAATAAGACAAAAAGGGAGAAGACTAAAACAAGGGATTACTTGTTGGAGGTTGCACAGGTGTATATTGACAAATATAGCCCAATTTATCATCACAGTTTTTTGGTGTCCATTTCCTTCCACCGACTGTGCTTGATACACAATTTTTGGACGGATCTCTTATTGGCTGAAAGAAAAATGTTTTCTTTAAAGAGAATACTTGTTAAACACTTTTTAAGCATACCTTAGAAGCCCATTGAGCATAAACTAATCTTTTCTCAGCTCCATTCCATCTAAATTGCCACAGGTTTTCGGTTGTTATATCGGTAACACCAATCCACCATTTTCCTGGGAAATTAGAACGTCTACTGTACAAGAAATTGATTGACCTTTTAGTGGGAACAACAAGATTTCCAAATTTCCCACCACTCTTTCTACAGTTTTTAAGAGCTTTTTTCCAGGAGACCTTTTTACCAAAATATTTATAGCATGTTCCCTCCACTGGATCTTTTATAGCATTCTTAGGACAATGATCATCTAATAATAGATAAATAAATGTTCACTGTTCTCATTTATTTAAACAACCTACATTTTCGTACTCTGACTGAGTATGTCTTCATCCTGCTATTTCTCTTTCTATCTTTCGGATGAGTATAATAGTTCTTTCGCGTGAGGTATTGGCATCTAAAATTATTCATTTTAATTCATTTTACCTAATAATTTTAACATTTTACTTCTTTTTATTAATGCTGTAATTAAAACCATAACATTTTTGATTTTTGTAGCATCTAGCTGCACAATCTACAACTGATTTCGTCTGTACAAATGGTGATTTATCGCTAACTTCATAACCACTTCTGGTTTCGTAACCATGTAGCCATACTAAAATCATTAAAAAGGATTAGATACAGGGTAGGAAAAATAACGCAATTGAGCTTACCAATATTTACTCCAGCTTTTTTAGGTCTGTATTCACATAAATAAGATGCTTTCTTTGAGCATTTTTGTGATATAGCTTTTATATCAGAGGCTTCCATTGCTGCACAATCGTTTTTGGAATTTTCTCGAAATCCTTTGCTTTTCCAGACTAGTCCTGTTCCAGGAAACAATTTATTTCCAAAATTCCATTCCCAGAACCCTTCCAAATTTCTATCAGTAGCACCAATCCAAAAATTGCCCTTGAGTCTATAATTATAGTTAGTTAGAATAAATTAGGCAAAATTTAATTGAAAAGTATACGTTGATCTTCTACGAAATAGGAAATTTCTTGATTGACCAGCAGGCAAGACGGCTAATTGACCTCCATCTTTTTTACAATTTTGAGAAGCAGTATTAAAATTAACCTGCTCTTTAAATTGCTTATAACAGATTCCAGTTTTCTTATCGCCAAAAGCACCAGGCTTTTCGCATTTTACTGAAATTTTAATTAGAAATTACAATTATGACTAATGAATGATAAGCTTGTTATAGAAATTACATAAAGCAAATCTCTCCGCAATTACTCTTTCTCTAGCGTTATATGCACAGACATAGTTATACTTTTTACTACAATCCTGATCAATCCAACTCTTTCTTCCACTATTTTCAAACACGCAATTTTCTACAGTTTTTCCATTTGGCTTCATTGAGGAGGAAAGAAATTAGATTTCTATAAAAAAATATATTGAAATATATCTTTAGTACTTCTCGGGCTCCCCACCATGATCTTTCAATTTTATAAGACTTGTCCCCAACATGATAATGCCAAACACCTTCATTATTTGCATCTGTTACACCGTTCCAGAAATTTCCACTGAATCTAATGAGTAAATATTTCTAGCTATAAAATACAATTTAAAATAAGGTGATTAATTCTTACGAGGCTTTAAATTGGTTCATCAATGTTTTTGAGCGAGGTGTATCCACTATTAAATGTCCAATCTTTCCATCGTTGGTTTTGCAATTTTTCTCTGCTGTTGCCCAATCAACTGGAGTTTTGTAAAGTTTCATACAGAAATCAGAAGTATAATCTTTTACTGAATTTGGTGGACAATGATCATCTGAAGAAATTATGTGTGTTATTAATCACTTAATAAGTTATTAAGAAATTTTCACAACAAACATTTTGCCATGTATTTGTCGTAGTGTCTCCATTTCCTATCTACTTTGAACTGATCAGAGTGAGTGAAAGAGTTAGCATTGGAGTAGAAAGCGCATCTGAATAGGTTTCATTTAATCATAAAAGTAAAACATCATTAAAAATAGGTAAAATTTACTTTTTTGATATATGATAGGCGAAACTTTTACAATTCAAATCCTCAACGCAAGTTTTATAACAATCATTTATGTTTTTAACTGCCATAACCTTCGTTGGAGCAACTGATAGAACCTTTTTTCCACGATATTGAAATTCAAGATTGTAGTAGTTATAATTGAGAATAGATTTCGAATTTCTATATTCACAGAAGAAGGCTCTCTTTGCAAAACAATTGTCATCTACACCTTTTCCATTACTTTTTTGCAAAAATAAACAATTTTCAACAGTTTTTCCATTTGGCTGTTGTTAAAAAAAATGTTAAATCAAGTAAATTTTTAGGAAAACGAATGATTTATCTTACTTCTACTGGCTTGTTAATGTAAGAAATAATTGTTGGAAGGCGAAGATCGCCGTGGTGGAAATACCATCTTCCCTCAATATAGTCATCAGTTAAACCAACCCATGCGTAATTTGGTATTCTGTATAAGATAAAATTATTCAAAATACATAAAATAAATGAAAATTTCATGAAATATACTTGTTTCTTATTCTCATCAAAAACGTCCAATCTTGAGTTGTGGGAAGAACAGCAAGTTGCCCGTTCTCTTTTCTACAAACCTCTTGAGCTTTTGGCCAAGTCATTTTTCGAGTGTCGAGGCGGTAACAAACATCAATGTATGGATTATAAAATCCTTTCCTCTCATCACAAGATTTATCTTTTTAGTTGGTTAGACAAATAATTAACTATAAAAACTGTTAAAAGTTTAAGTTTTAAATTTCCTACCGCATTTCAGATAAGTATTCACTTCCCGATTAGCTTTCAATTGGGACCTAATAGGGAAATTTCTTGAAAGGACACATTGATTTTTATTCCTGAAATGACCAAAAAGAAATGTTAAAGAGTGCATGTTTCATCTATTAATATTACCTTCCAGTTGTGTGAAATTCAAAAGATAGACATTTAAATGCATCTGATTGAACACAGAGAAGTTTACATAAGTATGCATTGGCAATGTTCTTGTACACTTTATTATTATGCCCTGGTTGATGGTGTCTTGGAACTTTCTTATAGCATTCATCACGAACTAGGGGAGTCAAGATAGTAACAAAACATAACAATTAATGATTGAGCTTGAAATCATATTGACTATAAAAAGTAATGTTTACTTGAAGGAGCATTTAATCTAACGTAGAGATTAATATTTTTTATAGACTTGAAATTTTTTCCAGCTATTGATACTTGTGATTTGATAAAGCATCGCTTTGATTTCACCAAAAATGCAAAACCGAGACATATATCCTTTTCATTACAACGTTTAGCACAGTCTTTTGAATTGGAATTTTTAAATTCTTGAATATCGTATCCAGGATAATCTTTTCCTAAATAGAGATGATAACCAGGAACATCCTCTAAAAGAAGTATTTCGAAATATATATATATGCAAGTAGTACAAATATTTAAAATTTAACCTATCAACATATCGTTCGGTCCAGTTTGAGGACTAGCTCTATATTCACAAGTATAAAATTTCTTTGCATCACATGAAACATCTATCCATGAGTTCTTATGGTTTCTTTCCATGACACAGTTTTCGATAGTGTTTCCGTTGGGCTTTAAAATTTTACAGTCAACAAATCATAGCATAACACATAATTAGTCAAAAAGTGAAAATTTTACTTCTCTCGCACTCCAATAAGCTTTAGAAATTCTATAAGATTTTTTTCCAATGTTATAATACCAAACACCTTCTCTGTTAATATCAACAGCACCATTCCAGAATAAATCAGGAAATCTGTTGTTTTTTTAATAAAAAAAAATCACATGTAAGATATAAAATGACTTAAAATTTATATATTAAATTAATTATATTGACAGAAAGCTTTCACTTTTAAATTTTCAAACTAAGGGTTAAGTATCTTATAGGGTTCGGCAAAGGGCTAGGGTTGGTTAGTGTAACGGTAAAAAACTACGAAGAGTCAAATAATAAATTACTATTTACCGGCGTTTATTTTGTTGAATTAGGTTCTTTGAGACATCAGTATCGATGATTAAACGACCTGATTTCTTCTCATTAGTTTTGCATTTTGCACCAGCCATAGCATGGGTTACCTTTTGGGCGTAATGTTTAAGACAAAGATCGCTATTTGGATCCTTAATTGCATTAGCAGGACAATGATCATCTGTAATAGAAAAGGATAGTTGTCAAATAATAAAGTACACAAATGTATATATAAATCAGGGTTTGCCCAAAAGTGTCCGGAAAAACATTATGCTTTTCTAAGAAAGTAGTTAAATCATTATCAATAATTGTCTGCTACCGTTAAGGTAATATTGCGAAGTAATCAAGCCTTTTTTGTTTATAATAATCTTATAAACTTTATTCTTTATATTCTAAGTGTCTTATATTCTCTGACGGGCTTAGAAGACAATAGGCAACAGCTTATTGGCGCCATTTTGTCATCATAGTCAAGGGTTGCCGCTGTCTTTGGTCGTCCTGTGTGATTCATTCAATTCATATTTACTCTTCTATCTCTGAATTTTTTCCCCAGGCCATATTTTTAAGGTTTAAGTAAATTTCAGTAAAAGACGATTCTTGCATCAGCAAAAATTTAACTACCACACAATTTAATCATGAACAGCAACCATGTTATAGTGTAGCTTACCTCTGTATAACTAGTATAACTAGAAAAAAACCTATTTAAATATATAGACCGTTTTAGAAGCTACAATGCTTTTGTCATGAATACTTTATGGGTTTAACCTAAAATTTTATAAACACAAACATTTTCTTATGACATGATCGTAATGAGTCCAACCAGAATTAGCTGCCAATTGTGATGGGTTTGTGAAAGAATTTTTATTATCATAGAAAGCACATCTGTGAGAAAATACAATCAATAAATGAAAATGTTAACCTATAAGAATTTACATACTTTTTTGATTTATGATAACCGAAACTTTTACATTTGGGGTCCATTGCGCAGGCCTTAAAACAATCATCAATAGTCTTTACAGTTTGTCGTTTCGTAGGTTTTATGGTCAATTTCTTATTTTTTAATCCTTTGCCAAAAGCCAGAGAATAGCTGTTATAATCGAAAGTAGATATTTTTGTTCTAAATTCACAAATTGAATATTTTGGAACAGAGCAAGAAACATCAATTCCTTTAGCATCTTTTCTGGATAGCATTAAGCAATTTTCAAATGTCTTTCCATTGGGCTGAAATGAAAGACACAAATTAGAGGATATTCAATACATGAATAAACTAATAGATTTTACTTCTACTGGTTTCCCGAAATAGGGAATATTTAATGGCAAGAAAACTCCATTCATTGGGAAATACCATTGATTTTCCAAAAATTGATCGGTTGCTCCTACATAGGCATAATCGGGAATGCTATTGATAAAGAACAGTAACTCAAAAAGTTAGTTAATTATTTCACTAAAAGACATACATATATCTGAATCTTTTGATAAAACTCCAGTCTTCAAAGCTTGTTAAAGATGCTAGTTCTCCGCCACTTCTTTGACAATTCTTTCTAGCGGCATCGTAAGTTGTTCGTTTATTATGTAAACGGTAGCAAATGTTGTTATATGGATTGAATATTCCCTTCTTCTTGTTACAATCAAAATCTAAATATAATTAAAAGAAAATGATAAACTTTAATAAAGAATTGTATTCTAAATGTACCGCATCGTCTGAAAGAGTCAATAGCACTATTTCCAGCCAATTCACTTCCAGATGGATAATATTTAGAAAGAACACAAGTGCGAGCATTCCTGTGTAAAAAGAATATATAAAGCAATGTTAAATATGAATAATTATACTTTTATTATTTATATTTAAGCATAGTAGTACCTTCCAGATTTATAATATTCAGCAAATACACAATTAAAACTTTCTTCTTCTTGACACAAATATTGGCATGCTCTTGCTGATGCAACGCTCTTTAATATCTTATCTTCATGTCTTGGTGTATGCTTATTCTTGAATTTATCAAAACATACTGTCACAGCTATTTGAAACAATTTACAATTGTTCAATAAAATCATGCCTCTAATAAGTTAAATATACGTTCACTTACCGTCAACGCATTGATATCTAACTCTTAAGTATTTGAAAATTCCTACACATGGATCGCTAAAAACATTGTTCTTGGCAAGTATAGAACACTTGTCCTTTCCTTCGCATAGGTTTTTAACCGCATTTAGAGATTTTCCGCTTTCACAATTACTTGATTTTACTCGTTTCTGAAATTTCGTGACGGATGGTCTATGACAAATTTTCAAATCACCTTTGTCTCTTCCGTATTTTGCACTTAAAACTTTAACAACTTGTGATACGGGACAAGCGATGGCGAGAGTTTCATGCTCGCAAGTTAAATCTAGTGTTGAAGCTAACAAATAAAACAGTATTAAAACTATTGTCTTTTAATGACTAGTATCAAATTGCGTACTTGATGGTCCAGCTTTTCGAACGAACATATCAGTATTTTGGTGATTATGAAATTTAGCAACGCTACCAAACTTAGTCTTAAGATAGCAGTCGTTACGTTTAAAGTCAAAAGCGAAACCATAGCATCCTTGTTTGTTGTCACATTCATTTCCGCAAGCTACTATGTTTGAGAGAGTTATTTTCAAAATGTTAGATGAAGTTGATATTTTCAATGGGTATCTTGTGTATCCTTTGACATTAACTATTCATAACAGAAAACACAATTGATTATTGGTTAAACTTTGAATATACAATAAACTCTTTACCTTGTCTGGCAGGTCCTTCTCTAATATATAAGTCACCTATAGGGTTATTTTTGAAATTTTTTCCTTTAGCTTCCGCTCTGTGTTTTATGTAACAACGCGAAATTGTAAAGATGAACTCAAAACCAACGCAGTTGTACTGATCATCGCAGTGATTAGCGCAAGCTTGTTGGGTGCTTCTATCATAGTATCTGATATCGTAGTGAGGGTAATCTTTCGTAGGATACCTTTTATATCCTTTCACATCGGCTATAATATTTGATAAATATTACTAAAACGACGTTTTTTAACAAATTATATTATAACCTTTATGTCCTCCTATCCTTAAATAAAGATCACTTTTTCCATAAGTTTTGAAGTTCGATCCGCTAGCCTTAGCTTCATACTTTACATAGCATGTTTTAATACTTGCATGGAAAACAAAGCCGGCACATCTGTTGTCCTTATTACAAAATTCAGAACATTTAACATGATTTGTTTTTGTTAGTTTCTTGATATCGAAGTTAGGGTATTGCTTGAAAGGATAGCGTTTATATCCATCCAGTGTGGCTATATGATAAAATAAAGAGAGGTTTCAATATTTACTGAATATATTTTAGAAAATTACGAGCAGGTCCTTCTGATCTTATGTACAAGTCGGCAGCTGATTGGTATTTAAAGTTAGGTCCTGAAGCTATTGCAGTATGTTTCAAATAGCAAAATCTTCCTTGAAAATTGTATAATGCTCCAATACAACCAGTTGTTTGGTCACAAGCTTTAACACATTCATCGTTTTCCAAATTTTTCAATTGTTTAATGTCATATCCTGGGTAATCTTTCATTTTGTAATGTTTATATCCTTTGAAGTTGTCTGTAATATTCAAACATTCTTAATATTTTGAAAGTATGTTACATAATATATAATTACAGTTTATGCATTTATATTTTACTCTTAAGTATTTGAAAATTCCTTTGCAAGGGTCTCCAAAAATATTGTTCTTTGCCGAAATTTGACAAGTTCGTTTCGCGTGGCAGAGCCCAAGTGATTTGGAATTTGATAATCCTGATTCACAATTTTTGGAAAGAATTCTACTTTTAAATTTGTTGATAGAATTATTTGGACATGTTGTCAAATCTGATTTGTCTCTTCCGTATTTTGCGTTAACAACAAGTATTCCAGTTCCCGTTGGGCAGGAAATTGTCATTGTCTTATGTTCGCATACCAAATTTTCACCAATTGCTATAAAATGATTTTAATTAATATTTCTTTTTATAAAAATGTAAAAACACTACTGTTTGGTCCATCTATTCTAAAGTATAAATCCGTCACATCAAGATTCTTAAAATTGGCACCGGAAGTTTGCATTTGACTCTTCAAATGACAAATATTGCTAGAAAATAGGAAAACAGTTCCAAAACAACCGATTGTTTTTTCACAATATTTAGCACAATCGAAAGGGTTTGAGTTGAAATATCTTTTCATATCGTATGATGGGTAATCTTTAAATTGATATCTTTTATATCCTTTGATGTTTGCTGATAAAAATTTAGTAATCTTAATAATAAGTACATAAAATAATTATATTTAAGTTTAGATTATACCGTCAACAAGATTTAATCTAAAGTATATGTCAACAGTGGCACGATTTATAAAATTAGTTCCAGATGGTTTTCCTGTATGCTTTATATAACAACTTTTCACATTCGGCAAAAATGCAAAGCCGATACAATTGTATTGAGCATTACAATGTCCAGCACAATCTTTGACATTGGATTTTTTGTATTCTCTAATATCCGAACCAGGAAAATCTTTTCTGATGTATCGATGATAGCCTAAGAGATAAAAACTCGTGATGAATATTTAGTGGGTTTATGTGTTTGATCATTGGTAACAGACCTTCGACTTCTCCCAATTTAAAAAAGAAATCTCCAAAATTATGATCTTTAAAATTAGGTCCACTTGTTTCTCCTTTGCTCTTCAAGTAGCAATTTCCAGTTCTTATATGGAATTCGAAAGCTAGGCACAAATGATTTGCGTCACAAAGTTTACTACATGAGTCGTAACTGGTCAATTTGTGAAGCTTAATATCAAATCCTGGATAATCTTTGTTCACATGCCTTGAATAACCAGAAACAACTGAAAAATTAAACAATTATATATATTTTTATAGATCCAGTTATTTCTACAGTAATACCATTTGCGCCTTTTGTTCTTATGTACAAATCGACAACTGCATTATTTTTAAAGTTTCCACCAGATGCACGTGCTTCCTTTTTCAGATAACAAGTTCTTGAATTGGTGACGAAAGCAAAGCCTGCACAGCCGTATTTTCGTTCACACAAATCTCTGCAAGCTTTTCTATTTGATTTTTTAGCCACATCAATGTCATGGCCTGGATAATCCTTCTTGGTATGTAAAGTATAGCCGGCAACATTGGCTGCGTATAAATTTGTTTTATAATTAAAAAACATCTACTAATTGAAGTTGTTTATTGATATATTGTTTGTTTCTGAACTGACCTGAAACACAGTTATAATCCACTCTGAGGTATTTAAATATCCCTTTACATGGATCACCAAACAGGCTATTCTTGGCAAGAACCGAGCATTTTTGCAAATCGTCACAATTTGCTCTCGTTTTTGCCACAGAAGTTGATGCTTCACAGTTATTTGATTTAATCCTTGATGCAAACCTCCGTACGGATCCTTCAGGACAAGTTTTAGTATCTCCCTTATCTCTTCCGTATTTTGCTGATCGAATTCTAAGAATTTGTCCGTTTGGGCATGCCATATTCAAAGTTTTATGTTCACATATCAGGTTGATTTTTGAAACTGAAAACAGAAATTTGAAAGTACAGTTGATTGTTAAATGAAAGTTGAAACTTTCAAATTTTCTAAAGTTTTACCTGCAATATGCAGTTCAGTAAAGCACAAAAGGGAAACTATGAAAAGTTTCCACATTTTGAAAACTGTTAATCCTACCGCAATCTCTTCGCGAATTATGCTAAAACGCGGTAGTGAAAATGGCACTTGTTAAAACTTTTATATGTACGGAGGAGGAAAAAAATCATTAAAACATGGTGCATTCGCATATGCCCATCTTACTTTTAAAGTATCTTTTGAGTGATAATTAAAAATGTTTTTTCAATCATTTGAGGCTATTCATTTTTATTTTTAACCGATGACGCGGCAGTAACAGCTTTCGAAATAGTCTTCATTAAATTTAGTTCAAGTAGTAATTGACGGTTTTAAACTAGGATTTAAATTTTTTTTGAAAACTTATTAACATTAATTGTACTACTTTTTGTAAAATATCAAGTACTTAACATATTACTTTTTTTATTTCATTTTTTTTAAAAAAAAAAAGAAAAACACAAGTACCAGTTTGTCTATTCAGCTGAATATTTAACAAGAAGTTATTTCTTATTAATAAATCAAGCCTATGAAAATTATTTATAATTATCATACTTTTATATATAATTAATGATTTTTAAATGAATAAACACAAATATAAGTTTTATTTAGTTGTTTTTTTTTATTTATTTATGTAAATTGTTCACGTTACATTAAGCAGTTAAAAATGGACTTGTTATGTATAACGATAGTTATAATAACTCTTTTATTATAAGTGCTATAATCCATAATAATTTAAAGTTCTTGTTTCAAATCAACTGTAAAACTTCTTTGAAAAATATCGGTTTTTTTCTTTGCCAAATGTTTTCAATAGTGCAGATACCATGAACTATCTGTAGTTTTAAATGGATACTATTATAGATATTCAAAACAATATTATATATATATATACTGTATGTACTTACATGAATTTTGATGTAAATTTAAATTATACATATATGCTAAAGCATTTGATGCTGCTCTTGCTTTTGCAACTTTTTTATTCCTTCCGCCTCCCTGAAACAAAACAGTTTTAATAGTTTAAAATAATATTTTTTCATCGTTCAGAATACAATTGAACTAAAGAAAGAAGATTGATTACCTGAAATGTTTTACCATTAACCAAAGCAGCCATAAGAAAGCTCTTGTTAGTACCAATTCCGCTTTCAAAAATTAATTTATATTCAACTTTGGAGCACATTTCATTCAGAACGACAACAGGATTAATTTTCTATTTCGGCAAAGATAAATAAGTTAAATGGCAATCAATAAATATTAATAAATTTACTAACTTCCTCTTTATTATTATTTAAATTAATTGCTTTAGCACATTTGATTGGTGATTCAAATTCTGTTGAATTTGTAGCTGATGTAATAAATTCCTTATTTGTAAAATTTTCGTCAGTTGTGAAATCACCGTTTTTAACCGGTTTGTATATTGGGTGTTGTACAATACTTTTGAGAGCATTTTCTGCCGCCTGAATAAGCATTTTAAATTATATTTAAGCTATATATATATCTTATTTATTACTTACATTTAACTTTGCGATTTTCTTATTACCGCCTTTTCCTTCGAATGTTTGTCCATTAATACTAAAGCTTACAACAAAAGTAGGCGCGTGAACTGGACCAGTTTGGCTTAGAACGGAAAACTGAAGAAAACGAAAAGTCAAAATAAATAGTTTATAAGTATTTCATTTTGCGGATTGCGTAATAAAAGAGGGTTATAGTAATTTGACAAGTAGTGCTTTGAGAAGAACGGAAAATTGACAGAAGAGGATTATTAAATAAAATAGATATGACTTTGAATCTAGTATATTCCAAGGCTCTTATTTTCGAGATATATATATATTTCCTTTATATTTTATGTCTTTTTAACGTGGAAAAGACAGATAAGAATTTTATTTTTTAACATTCTATGATTCTCTATTTAAGTCTTTTTCGTATAAAACATATAAATCAAATTTACTACGTTTTTGTTGGCTGGATAACCAAATTAAACCTTTTCGAGATATAAAAGAATAATAAAATTTACAGTTTTACTAAATTAACAATCTCTAAAAGCATCTTGTTATCGAGATAGTCTTTTAATAGAACAATATTTTGACTTAAAGTGATTAAGGGGTGAAGAGCGTCTATCGGAATATGTTTTACTTGAGCAATCAATAGGTTGAGTTTACTTCTAAATGATAAAACATCAAAGCTACGTGTCTAAAATATTATCCTGAAAACTCAAGGGACCATGATAAATAATTCAAAAAAATGAAAAGCTTTGACAATTATCGACACCAAAAGTGAATAAAGAGACCAAAAACATTCTTATTATTCAATAAGGCTATCATTACCCTAATTTGCATATATTGAATTCTATAAAAAGGAGTTCTTTGTAAGTCTAAAAAAATATACTGTTGTTGAAAAAAAATATGCTATACAGCAAGAAAACGTTTGTAACACTTTAGCATATGGTTCCATATGCTAGGAGTGGTAAAGTGAATAAAATAAGAAAAAAATCTTTAAAGCCAATTCTATATTTACATATAAATAATAGAAATAGAGGTTTAGAGTCATAGATGACAGATAAACAATAATGTAAAGGAAAAGGTAAGTAAAGAATCTCTCAAAATTTGCTATCATTTGTTTTATACGAAAATAAATTGATCGGTCTAAAATTAAACGGATGTTTGCACGAATAAATCATGATTTTAAACCGGAAATAGATAGAATGAAAAAAAATTGTTAACATACTTGAGCGTTTGGCTTCAGTTCATTTAAAATTTGAACGGCGTTCTTATTTTTTGTGATATTTCCAACTTTTCGTTTTCCCCTCTTCCTTCTTGATTTAAAGTTTGTCAGTCTTTTTGTTCCCATCTTTTTAAATGGTTTTCTACTTCTTGGTACGTTTTCGGTTTTTCTAGATTCTTCTGTAAGAAAGAAGTAAAAGAGTTATTTCTAAACGATAAAGATATAAAGAAATAGTTATAGTAATGTTTTCGTTTTCATTTATTTTATTTATTAGTTATTTTTTGTTTTTATTAAAAAACACACATGTTTGAAAAAACTTTTATATCTCTACAGCTTGAACCGTTTAAATTGAAATAATACATCAATTAGGCCTAATTTGACTTTACAGGGTTTTATCTATTAATCTTAACAAGTTGTTTTTTTTCGTAAACTATTTGAATACATAGTCATGTGAGGCTAGTTTAGCGTTCGATATCTCGAATAGTTCTTGATTGAGCATTTTCGATTCTCATGCCAGTTTTGCGATAATCAGCTATCGATTTATTGAAGAGGACGGGTAATGCTAGGCCTATAGTTTGTATTTCCCTTAACCAAATCGGACGAAATCAACTTGTCAAATGCAGGCTTTACTGTGGCCCCGATAAGCACTTTGTATGCATGCAAGCAGAAAATGGAGCTTGGGGATTGCTAGGTTTGGAATTGACTGGAAGAAATCTCCGTGGAAACGTAATTTTATCTTTGCTCCAATCGCTTGCGTAGTCACGACAGACAACATGATAGCTCTTTTTTTGTCTTATGTTCCAATTGCTTTTAGCATGAGTCTATTCTCTGCATTGAAAAGAGACAAATTGAATACTCTTAAGGATCAACTTTTTCTTTTATTTCAAAAGTGTCCTTTTATGAGCGGAATCATAAGAATGACCTTTTTTCTTCTTCCTTTAATTTTCCGACTATTTGCCTATTATCCTCTTTCAGGAAGAGTCTTTTATATTTTCATGTAAAACTTTCTATGAACGTTCCCAAAGACAACAACTACTCATTGTTTTCTTTTTCCTTAATAGAATATCTTTACAAGATAAAAACCGAGAGTCAGAAATTAATCAATATTTCCCAAAAAAAAATGCGCTCAGGGTATTAGACTAGGCTTACATGACCTACTGGGAAGAGGTCAAACTTATTCCTGCCTCAAAAGCTTTTTTTTTCCCTCTGAACAAACTGTTGAGAGGAAAAACCAACAATTCAAATGTTCGTTAATTAAAAAAAATTAAAGACTTTTTTATTGATATTCCCTCTTCTCTTTTACTTTCCCTTTTCTCTTAATTAATTTTTTAAATATTCTATAAGGCAGAAAAGTATGAATAGTTTATTCAAAACCTTGATGCTCCCTAGTTATTGATCTGTCAAACTCAATACACTTTTTGAAAATTATATAATAAGTAAGGGCCTTTAGGAAATAGTTTAAAATTCTATGTAACCATCTCATAGTACTCTAAATACTCGCTTTCGACTCACTTAAAAGCTCTCTCTCTCTCTCTCTCCTCTCGCCCGTTCCTGACTTTCAAATAACTTGTGAATAAATATACTTCGTTTCTCATTAGATTTCCTTTTTATCGATAAATAAACTATTAAATTATCCAATTTTGTTATAAAATATACTTTATATTCACAGAATTACTAAACCTTGCAGAATATAATTTTTCTTTTTGCATTCCTCTATAAATATACCAAGCATTCTACACAGCAAAATGTTTTGTTAATATTGATAAAAACAAAACTAAAAGTAATGAGAAGTAGAAGAAAAAGTCGAAAGAAAATATAGGAGAAAAAGAACAAGAAAGACAGACAGAGAAATAGAATGAGAAGGGAAGTGAATAAGAGAGGGAAAGAGAGGGAGAGTTTTTTTTTGAACTCCTAAAAATAGAAATATAAAAGAAGATCTTTTTTAGAATTTAGACTGACATTGGTAAGTTTGTAGGAAGAAAGAAACTCAGAAAACTAGATAAATCTGCATATTACCTTGTTTTTTTTTTTACGAAAGTAATCCTTATATAGAAATAATCCAAATACGGATATATAATAAACTGGTATTATTAGAAAAAATACGAAATTAATAAGATTTATTATAAAAAGAAATTTATACTCCTCCCTAATTTTATCTTTCTCTTTCTCTACTCTATACTCTTGTGTTTCTATCCAACTATCTAGCTATCTGTATCTTATTTCTTTCTCCCTCCCTTCTCTGAACTCTTTATTCCATTGCATCTTTTCTTTTCTTTGTATTATTAATTTTTCTTTTGTTAACCGTATAATTTAACGTTTTTCCCTATTCCTCTATTTTCGATCAGAAAATAATAAAAGAAGGAATTAAAAAATTTCCATATAAATTACATTGATATGATAGAGAGAAGGAATATTTTTCATGGGGAAAAGGATTGAAAATAGATTCGTATTATCTACAGTATAATATATACAGTATATATAGTCTATATGTACATATATTTCGTAAGGCAAGTGTATATGCTTTGTACATTGAATAAATACATATATTTATATATGTATTATCCAGTTTGAAGGAATCACGCCCGTTAGCAACATTAAGAGAACGTGCTAGCAGAGATGTTCAGGGAAAAATTTCATCCTAGCTGTATCTAATTAAGCGTAATCATTGGATTTAAAGAGGTCGATGACTGCATACTTGGAAATGGAAAGAGATCTTAGCAAAGCAATTTATACTGAAAAGATATTATATTTAAATTTTAACAGAATGAAAATTTAGTATAAAGTACTTAATTATTCTTCTTTTTATGAATAACTTTATAATTCTTAACGAAATAGCCTAAGGCCAGCTCTTATGAAATTGGCCTAAGTTCGTCTTGCCTTCGGTTATACTATTCGAGCAATTTTATCCCTTTTATTAGCTTACTAAACAGTTGAGAGCCCTCTCGTTAGAGCTGATATTTGTCCAGTATTACTGGCTAGTTACCCCTCTTTCAACGACATTTGTCATGTAGGTTATCCTTTTAGGGAACAACATCATAAGGTTTCTCGAATATAAAGTAAAATAAATAATATAATTTAGAAAAGGAGGGCAAAATTTTAGAAAAATCCAATTGCTATTGTTAAGTTATATACGTCCTTTGAAAAAGAGAAGAAGATTTAAAAAAGAGACGCTATGAATCTCTTGATTGATAGAAAAGTCTTTTTCATAGCCAGAAAAAAGTTCCTAATGCGTTTTGTTACTGTTATAAGATAAAATATACTTAAAGAAATACGATTCAGACAAAAACAGCTGCGGGTCCTTACTAACTTCAATGAGTTACTAAAATTATTGCTGTTTCTATTTCTTAACCAAGTACGTTGTTTATTTCCACTTTAACCGTTATTCAACTATATATAACTACATTATTCCTAAAGGAGAAATCTATAACGATGTTTATCATTTTTTTCATTGTCTATTTATTTATTGCACATAACTAATATATAAAATATATTGAATAGTTTTCTTGAAGAATTCGAAGATCTAATATGATTTATTAGCATTTATCTCTTATAAACCAATTCGGTAAGATACCAAAAGAAAAATCGTTGATGCATGCAAGAGAACGAGGCAAGTAAGCGAATCTGATTAATCTTCAATCAAATAGCCAAATACAGCAAAGAAAACGAAGAGATACATAAGTTTGGATATTTCGGTAAAAAGGGGCATTGAAAAAAATCCTTAGAGATATTTCAGCATTAAAGAAATTAGGTATAAAATGAAGGCAAGGCAAAAAAAACCACAAAACACTTATTTACTTACGTAGCCAAGAAGGAAATAGAAACTGCGTAACGACATTCACAGAGCAACTGCAATTTTAGAGATGCTGTCGATTTTGCAGTTGGAAAAAAAAACCGACTAGCGCGACTCCGTGCCGCTAGTGCATTTATAAATTATATATAACTACGTGATATACGTTTTCAGCGGCAAGCTTTAAAAGAGTTGAAAGCTTTACCAGTATAACTGACGCCCAAGAGACGGTCTTTTGCAAAATGCTTAGGAAAACTCGCGATAAACTCTTTGATGAATAAATTATACAATATGTATTCTATAAAAAAAAAAAATAGTCCATAAGAGTGATACTTACAACTGGATTAGTGTTTATAGCCAAAGATTACCTAAATATTGAATGATATATGAATAATCTACATAGTATCGATCAGAGAGGAATTGCTAATTAATAGGAAATTTTTACAAGTAAACACGCTACCTGATGTCATCATAATCATGTAGATTCCCGCAAATGCACCAATACGGCAATTATTGACAAAAGTAGCTTTTGTATAATTAGATTAATTGTTGTACTATTCGAAAATCTAAAGAAATAACAATAAAATTAATCGATTCCAACCAATAATTCTTAAACACAAGTCTATCCATATTTGTAATCCAGTATGACCTCAATACTTGTGTGATAAACTCGCCTAAAAAACAGTTTCGGATAAATATAGGTTTTTTTTCTTAAGATGCCTTAAATAACAAGTTGAAAAAACTGACCATAAAATAGATTCAGTAACATCTAGTAATTTATATACAAACTCAAAAGTTAATTACTATATTCGTCTTGATTGCTACTTGGTTAAAATTAGTATTCTTCCCCTTACACGTCATCAATTGAAAATAAAAGGTATTTGTTACTTGTTACTTTAACATAATGAAATAAGCAAAGAAAGAAACAGAACATATTTCTTTTTGACAATTAATATTACAAAATGCCTTATTCTCCAACCGGTGCAAGTATTATGTACATATAATGACATTATATATATATATATGTAATATACTATACGTGTACAATATCTAAGCAAAGCTAGAGTATATGTCCAATATGTATAACAGTATTATTGATTTATTCTTAATCTGAGTAACAACAAACTTTTACTTATTTAATTTCTATCAAGCTTTCAATATAAACAAAGCGTTTCAAATATAAAGTAAACATTTTTTGCCGTCTCTTTAGAGAAATGTCACAAAGAAGTTTTACAGATCAGGATAATTCCCAAATGATAAAGTTTTAGTGGCATTTCTAATTTCTTGTAATAAAAATTTTAAAAAGAGGAGATATGCATATATAAATTAAGAGAAAAGAC